TTGGTGTTTACCAGAGGGGAAGGGCGTGGGAGGAGGGCAGAAGGGGTAAAGGGACACGCGGGTACAGTGATGGACGGCAACTAGACTTTTGGTGAACACAGGCAGTCTACACAGAAGCTGAAATATAATCATGTACACCTGAAATTTACGTAATGTTATAAACCAATGTCACCTCAAGAAAAACGCAAAGACTAAACCCTGGAAAAGAACAAAATCGTATCGATTAGAATCAGTTTGGCTATTAACTTTGCTTCCTAGGAGCTTAGATAGGTCTTTTTTCTTGACCTTTTTGACTTAGTTGTTTTGATACTGTGTTTGGGTCCTCGCTTATCTTTTTGTTTTCTTTCAGTTTTATTGAGATATAATGGACAAATGACATTTTGCAAGTTTAAGGTTATGTTCTTAAACGAATTTCGTAATATGAGTAATGTCGAAAAAGGTTTGAATGGGGTATGTTTGTTTTCCCCTGATTTGATGCTTATAATTTGTCCTTTAAGCAGTGGAGTCCTTTCCCTTAGTTTGTCCTTTCAGTCACCCCACACCCTTAGATCCTGATTGCTCACTAGGTAGGTTTTTCCCTTCAATAATCAATGGAGTGAATCATCACACGTACTCGTTTCCCCTTCTGGTCTTCAACATCAAACCCCCAGTTTTCCTCTCCTTCCTGAATTTCCTGTGTGTCAGTCATCCTTGAGCTACAGTCCTTGACTCCACAACCCAAATTATAGTGCATTTTAAATTTGGTTTTACTAAGTCTCCTATTTGATTTTTGAATTTATAAATGCAAAGCATCCAATAAGCAATAAAAATATCCTCATGGATTTGGTTTCTTAAAAGTACTTCTCACATAATATGATTTGGATGAGACCAGGATGCAAGAAGAAGTTTGGAAAGACGTTTGTACATCATGTGAGCAAAGCCTGGAATACTCATGTGGCAACAATGAGCATGATAGAAATTCAGTGTCTTAGTAAAAAACCGTTTTTCAAACTGGTCTGCAGTTGTGCCTGTGAAAACGCACAGGGCACTACAGCGAGCTTTCGCTTCCAAAATTATGTTCCAGATGTGCAGGTTCGTCTCGAGGCACGGCCCAGAGATTTGCTTGTAGTTCATTTCGTGGCAGGTTTTCCTGGTCTCCTTGGGCATCAAACTCTTTTTTCGAATGTTATTGTAAGATTTGCCTAACATTCCAGAAGAATAACAATTACTATTCGTGGTGAGGGAGCTCGTTTATCTTAAATTCTTATTCTCATGATTCCAAGGAGAGCTCTTGATGTATAAGGGCCCATCAGAGTTCCGCATTGGTCGGGAAAAAACTAGGCTTTTCTACCAACTCCATGGTCAGGCACTGGCCCCGTCATAGTCACAGCCGAGTTGCTCAGGAAAGCTCTCTCTAGTACCCTGGCTCGCCTGTTCTTTGTCTTGAGCTCGGGGGGCTCTGCCAAAGTTAAACAGTCTTCGTGTTTTGTCTCCCCTGGAGAGTCCCGTCCGTCTTCTCTGGGGCCCAAATAAAGTTTTGTTCCTGTCGATTATCCAGACATTTTCTCATTGTTTGACTGAGAGTGACATTCTTTACAGGTTTCTACATCCTAACCAACATGGGAAATTGAAACTTATTTTAATAGTATAAATGGAATACTTAACAAAACTGAATAAATATTGGGGTTGAAAGCAAATCACAAGACATCTCTAAGGCTTGAAATTACGGAGTATCTTCTCTCTTCACAGACATAGGAGGCTGGAAATAAAAATAAAAATTAAATTGCTCAACACTCAAATAGTTGTGGAAAATGACAAGGGTGGGGTCACATCACTTCCCTTAATTGGTCACCAATGTTCTCTTAATGTAATGGAAGAGGCAGGAGATATGCCCCCATTTACTACAAAATTCATATCTCCTATGGGTTGACTTGCATCCCCCTGGAAGTCTTATGTTGACGTCCTGATCCCCAGGACCTCATATGTCATCGTATTTGAAAATAGGGCCTTTACTGAGGTAATCAAGTTAAATTATGTTCATTTGGGTGAGCTCTATTCCAAAATAACTTGGGTACCTATAAAATAGGGAAATTTGGAAACTGAAACACGCATATAGAGAGGAAAATGTGAAGACTCAGAGAGAGATGTCCGCCATCGACAAGCCAAGGGGAGAAGCCTGGACCAGACGCTTCATTCACATCACTCTGATGGAACCAACTCAGGTGACACCTTGATTTGGACATGGAACCTCCAGAAGAGGGAGACAGTAAATATCTGTTGTTTAAGTCACCTAATCTCTGGCATTTTCTGCAGCAGACATAGAACACTAATAAAATATTCCTAAATGACCATGATTAAAAAGGTACAGCCCATCAAACAAAGAAACAAATAGCAGGCAGTGAATCACACCCCTTTCCCTCTCAGTCACCAACCTGAACATCCCAGGAAGACACTTAGTGGTTTGGCTCAGGACACCTCGCACATCCGGACGATGCTGTGGCTCAGCGGCTGCAGGTCTCTCATTGGCCGACCCCAAACAGAGTAGGGCTTGAGTCTCTCTGATGGGACACTCCCATCGTCCCCATGATGCTGAGTTGCAAGTCACGGAAGTTGGGGTTTTCGAAAGAAGAGATTATAAGCTTGGGAAGAATTGAAATCCAAATAAAGTTAGAAAAGTTAAGAAGTAGTAACTATAGGTTTCTAAGAGACCTGAGAGTAGACTGTTGTTTTCTTGAAGTTTTCCTGTAGTAATATACTGTACCGATGTTTGGGGTCCACGCTTTTAAATGAAATTCCCGTAACACGGAGTAAGGGTGAAAAAAAGCTTTTCATGGGCTATGCTTGTCCTACTAATAGTATTTTCCCTAGGTCGGGGCTTATAACTTGCTATTTAAGCAGCGAAGCCTTCTCCTTCAGTTCGTTTTCAGGGAACCACACCGTTAGATTGTGATTGCTCATGAGGTGCCCGTTTTCCCGCCATCACCCACTCTTGTGAATAATCACATGAACTCACGTCCCCTTCCAATCTTCAGCATTAAACCCTATTTTTCCTGTTCACCTCACAGATTTCACGTGTGTCACCCAACTTTAACCCTCCAGTCTTCACTCCTCAGAACTATTAGGGTGCATCTTAAATGTTGTTTTACTAGTGGTCCTGTTTGCTTTCTGAATTGACAAATGCAAAACCCCCAAAGCATCATAGAAATGTCCTAATGCATTAGATTGCTTAACATGATTTTTTACATAACACCATAGGTAGGAGACCAGCTCGCAAGAATGACTTTCGGAATGCACCTCTGTACCATATTGACAAACACTGGCATTTTGAAGCAGCACCCACTAGCAGTGACAGAAATTACGTGACTTAGTGAAGTGCCCTTTTTTCGAACTGGTCCAAAGTTGTTTCTCCGACAAGGCACATGGCTCTGCACAAGAGCCTTTAGCATCCAAAATTCCGTTTCACGTGTGTGCAACAATTACTAGGCACCTCAGAGAGGTTTATGCTGCACTTGATTTTGTGGTAGTCATTCTTGGCAACTTGTGCCGCAAGCTCTTTCTTCAAATCCTTTTATAGGAATTTTCCAACACTCCCGAAGGATAATGAGTAACGAACTTGGTAAGGGGCTTCTTTGTCCTCAATCCTATCTCTACTGATCGCAAGGGGGAGCTCTGGAGGTAATACTGCCCCCCTTCACGCTTGCAATGCTTAGCGAAGCTCTCTCTAGTGTTTTGACCTACCCTCAGTTTCCTTTTGAGCAACTCGACCTCTGTCCAAGGTGGAATACTCTGAGTGTGGATCTTTCCAGGGAAAGTCTTCCCTCTCTTCTGATGGGCTCAAGGAAGGTTTTGATTTCGGTAGCTTATCCAGCTTTCGTCTCCTTATGTGGCCGAGAGTGGCAACCTTTAGCGGTTTCTACATCCAAATCACAAGGGTCATCTACAACTTATTTTAAAATGTAAATGAAGCAATGAACAAACGCAGTGAGATATTGGGCTCTAAAGCAAACCATACTTAAATACAAAGAATTGAAGTCCCGAAGTGTGTTCTCTGTCCACACGTGCAGGGTGTTTATTAGATACGGATTAAAGAGAAGAGCAACTAGAAAATCACCAGCTACTCAACTTTTTTCAATATGCTTATAGGAAAAGGAAACCAATAAAAAGCCATTGGCCAAGAAGAAGATGCACAGGAAATTAAATTTATTTTGCACTATCATAAACATCAGCATTCAAACCCCTTGAGGAAGAGGAAGGCGTCATTTTAGTTCTCTTATTTCCTGACCGTACAGTTCTTAGGTTGGTAGAAGAGGCTAGAGACACATCCCACTACCAGCTCCGGATGGTATGCTTAAATCGTCATGATCAAAAACAAAAAGGAGAGCCAGCCTGACGGCCTAGTAGTTAAAGTTTGGCGCTCTTACTGCTTCGGCGGCCCGGGTTTGCTTCCAGGTGGCGGAACCACACAACCCCTCTGCCAGTTGCCATGCTGTGGCAGCAGCTCACATAGAAGAACTAGAGGACTTACAACTAGGATGTACAAGCGTGCACATCTTTGGGGCTTTGGGGAGGGGAAAAAAGAAAAGAGGAAGATTGGCAACAGATGGCAGCTCAGGGCAGAGCTTTCCCTGCAAAAAACAAAGAAACAAAAAAACCAAAAAGGAAACAATAAAAAAGAGTCAAAGAATCACATCTACTTCCTCCTCAGACTCCGTGCTTATTGCCACAGGAAGGCTGTTGGTTCAGCCCTAGTCACTCCATCACCTTCCGGGCCAATGGCTGTAGCTCACGGGCTGCCAGTCCTTCATTGGCTATGCCACTGGACAGTGGGGTTTGAGCAGCTCTCATGGTACAGTCCCATCATCCAAGAATGATTGCAAGCCATGATGGATTGTGTATTAAAATTGTTAGATTATCAAGTGGAAAAGAACAGAAAGGGATAAATCTGAATGATCTGAAACAGTAATTTCAGAAATCACGTAATCGGAAAAGTGAATTGTTTTTTGAAGTTCTTATTTAGCTATTTCTGTGCTGTTTGGGTCCTAATTTATGTAATTACGTGAATTTCTAACATGGGGCATGTAGAAAAGTGTATTAGGGATGTACTGATTCTTTTCTCATCTTTTTCACATTACGTGTTGCCCTATCAACATGAAGAACCCCGGGATAATCCCACTGTCCAATCATGGAAGAATTAGAGTGAAAACGTTTTTTCCTTTTCCTCCCCAAAGCCCCACTACATAGTTGAATGTTCTGCCTGCAAGTCCTTCTAGTTCTTCCATGTGTGCCAGAGACACAGCACGGCAACTGACAGAGGGCGTGGGGTGGTTCCCCACCCGGGAACCGAACCCGGGCCTCGAAGCGGTAAGAGCGCCGAAATTTAGCTCTTACGCTAGCCCATCAGGGCTGGCCCCAGAGAGTGGAAATGTTTTAAAAAATTATGATGGGGACAATTTTCACCTCACAAATCCCTATAAAGTTAAACCTAAAAAAAGTAACAAAAATGACGTTTAGAAAAGCTATTTAATACAATATGGTTATGGACAACGGCCCGTTCTCCCTCGAACAAATGCTACCACAGATATACTAGAGTTGATGATATTTAGTTACGGGTTTAAAAAAATGCTTTAACTATCGGCAGAACGCCACAAGACCCAACTACTAGCCCTTTTCGAGCTACAGCTCTTTTCCTGCCAAGCCAAGTGGCTCTGAAAAGAGCCTTTGGGTTACGATGCTCAGGTGCTCCTGAGGCAGCTCAGCGGCGGTTGGTGTACCTAAGGACGGCCTTGCTGGCCTCAGACACGGCGTGCTTGCCAATCTCCCCCGGCAGCAGCAGGCGCACGGCGGTCTGAATCTCTCTGGACGAGATGGTGGAGCGCTTGGTGGAGCGGGCCAGGAGCGCGGCCTCGCCGGCGATGCGCTCGAAGATGTCCTTCACGAAGGAATCCAGGACGCTCACGGCCTCCTGAGACAGGCTCAGGCCCTCGTGAACCCGCCTCAGAACCCTGGGGAAATAGGTGGCGAAACTGTCGAGGCAGCGGCGGCGGTGGCGGCGGGGCCTTGGCTGCTTCTGCTTCGGGCTCTTCGGGTCGGCTTCCGCGGGCTCCGTGGTGCCCAGGCTTTCCTCAGAGGAAGGCTCAGCGACAGGCTCAGCCATGTCACAGGCGGTGCCAGGGCAGTCTCCAAGGAAGGAGAACGGCGGCTCCTCAGGGACGGTGGCCCTTTTATAGAGCCGCCTCTCTGACGTCACGGGCAAGCTCCCTATCTGATTGGATAGCATGCAATCCAGGGAGCCTGCCTTAAGGTGTTAACATTTTCGTTGTGTTTTTCTTCTTGGACCAATGGCATTTTACGTGTATAATTTTTCTAAAAATATATTGCTTTTTTTAATGAAGTTGATAATTTTCTAATTGTTTCCTTTGTAAATTGATTTCTAACTTCATACTCTGTGAAGAGGGAACATATTGTGGGATCTCAATCCTTTGAAATATATTATAATTCTCTTTGAAGCCCCATATTTTATCACAATGGTTAAGAGTTTCATTTGAATCTTTATAAGAAGTTAAAACACCCCCTTTCGATTTGGATTTAAAAACCTTTAAAGGTTGCCACTCTCAGCCAGACAATGAGACAAAAGCTGGAGAAACTACAAAATCAAAACATTTGTGAGCTCAGCAAAAGACAGATAAGCGTCTCCCAGAAAAGACTCCCACGCCGAGTATTCCACATTACAGGGCACCACTTGCTCTAGAGAAAAACGGGGGCAGGTCAGGAGAGTAGAAAGAGCTTCATTGAGAATTGCAAACATGAAGGGAGCAATTTTACCCTCAGAGCTCTCTTTGATATCGATAGAGATTGGACTTAGGACAAATAAGCCTCCTCATCAGGGTTGTTACTTACTATTATTCTCGAATGTTAGAAAAACTTTACAAAGCACTTTTTAAAAAATGAGCTAGCTGCACAACACACCTAGAAAATCTACCACGAAATCAAGTGCAAGTCGATTCCTGTTTGTGGCTCCTAGAACTTGTCGTATACACCCGAACAAAATTTTGAAAGCCGAAGGTTCTCTGCAGAGCCATGTGCCTTTTCAGGAAAACAATGATGCACCGCTTACAACAAGTGCACTTCACTGAATCGCTTAATTTCCATCAGGCTAATTTTGCTGCTTCATAATCTCAGCGTTTGAAAATATCAAAAACATCTCTTTTTCCACAGTTATTCCTGCACACTGGTCTCATACATATCACGCTATGTGAGAGGTCATTGTAAGGAAAAGAATCCATTAAATACTTTGAATGCACTTTGCTTATTTCACGTTTGTAATTTCAGAAGTTAAATGGAAGCATTGGTAAAAACAACAGTAATTATTCACTTCAGCGGATGGTTGAGGAAAATCGGGAACCCAGGGAGCCAGCACCTTGCAATGGTGTGGTTTAATGTAAAGGTAAATTGAGGCAAAGGCTTCACTGCTTAAATAACAAATTATAAGCCTCAACCCAGGGAAAGTAGTGTTAATAGGATAAGCATACCCCATTCAAGCTCTTTCCACCATTACTCGCGTTAAGAAATTCATTTAAGGCGGGGGGAGGGGCAAACACAACACAGAGCTAAGTAAAGCAAAAAGTTCGAGAAACAAACCTATTCCAGGCTGCCTATAATCTGAAGGTTCTATTATAACTCACTCAGATGACCTGATTCTATCCAGTGTTAAATCCTTTGTTTTTGAAAACGCAAACCTTCATGACTTGCGCCTGGGAGGGGATGCTGGGAATGTCCAATCAGAGAGGCTCAAGTCTCACGCGGCTCTGAGTCAGCCAATGAGGGACCCGCAGCACTGAGCCACCCTCATTGGCCTGATGTGCAGTCAAACATTCCCCACCGAACCAATCGGAGTCCTCCTGGAATCTTCAGCCTTGGTGACAGACAGGGTAAAGAGTGTGATTATTTGCCTGCTGTTTGTTTCTCTGCTTGATTGGTTTTCTGCTTTTCATCAAGGTTACTTAAGATACGTCACCTGTTGTGAAGAGCAGTTATACAAAAATGCTAGAAGTTGCGTTCTTAAACTACGTATATTTGTTTCTCACACTCCTGGAGGCTCGAAGTCCAAATCGAGACGTCAGCAGGGTTGGTTCTTCTGAGTGGTTCGAACGAAGGATCTGTTCCAGGCCTCTCTCCTTCCTTGTAGATGGGGGAAAAAAATCTCTCTCTATTTCTCCACATTTTCCTCCCTGTGTGCACGTCTCCTGCCTCTTGCCTTATATTAAAAGAACAAGGGTGACTGCTTACATGAAATAAGGTAACCCCTTCCCGGTCGTTTTCCACAGCTATTTGAATGTCGAGAAATTTATTTTAGTATTTTATGTCTAATTGCTGTTTCTCTGAAGGGAGCATATACTCTGTGATTTCCAATCCCTGGAAAATATTATGATTGCTTTCAACCTAAATATTTTAAAAGATGTTTAAAGTATTCCATTGGTACTTTTAAAATAAGTTGTCATTTTCCCTATTGTGTAAGACATAGGAACGTGTAAAGTATGTCACTCTCGGCCCAACAATAATTTAAATCTAGATAATCTACAAAAATCAAACTTTTCTTGAGCTCTTTGGGAGAGAGACGGGACTCTCCAGGAGACCCAAAAGACAAAGATTATTAAACATGGGCAAAGTCTCAGAAGCTAAAGAGAAGAATGGGCGAGGGGCAGGCCAGGAAGCTAGGGAGGCCTTCCCTGAGGAGTGCGGGCAGAAAAGGGGCGATGCCTTTTCAAGGAGGAAATACAAATGTCTGTGCTTTTTGATCCGAGGTAGAAGAGTTCTGATGGGCCATCAGACCTCCAGAGCTCTCGTTGGAATCACTGGAGGCAAGATTTAAGATAAACGAGTCTCCTCATCAGGAATACTACTTTTTATTGTCGTGGAAGTTTAGAAAAAATTTATGAGAGTGTATGCTTCCCAAGGAGACCGGAAAAAACATGCCCCAAATCAAGTGCAAGCGAATACTTCTGAGTGGAGCCCACAGATGATCTTACACAACCAGAACATAATTTTGGGCGTGAAAAGCTCATTGCAAAGCAATTTCAAAAACAGAACTGTGGACTCCTATGGAAAAAAACTACTTTCCTAAGTCACTTAATTTCTATTACGGTAATTGTTGCTGCTTCAAAACCCCAGTGTTTGCTGGTACAAAGTACAAACGTTTTTCCAAAGATTTCTTGTACACTTGTCTCATATATGTCATTTTATGTGAAAGTTCACTTTAAGAATCCTAATCCACTAGGATATTCTGATGGTGCCAGGTGTGTTTTGCATTTGTAAAATCAGTAATCACAATAGCAGCCATTACCTTAATTGAGGCTTTTTTAAGATTCCTACACATGAAGTCCTCCTAAACAGACACATCACAATCCAAAACTAACCACCCTCAGCAAAATCAAACAATAAACCAAAACGGAAACGTCCAAAGAATTATCACCACATACCAACTATAGAAAGTGTGTTTGCCATGTTCATATATATGGCAACATAGAAAAATCATTAAGAAGAAACAGCTAGTTATCAAAAAAAAAAAATGAAAGTGATTTTTCTAAACTTGAAAATTGTAACCACTAGAAGAAATTATTACAGAAATGTTAAACAGCAGATAAGACATAGCTGGACAGAGAATTGGTGAACTAGAAGATAAATGGAAGAGGTAATACAGAATACCTCCTAGGGAGATAAAGAAAAAAGGGTTAAAGTGAGGCAAAGAGACATAAGGAATGGAGTCAAAATGTATTAAGTACATCTCCTAGGCACTGCAGAAGTGGAAAGCTGGATCACATCTGGAAAAATAGTATACAAAGAGAAACGGCTGGCAATTTCCCAGAACTTAGGGGAGCAGTGAATTGCTAGGCTCAGGAGGCACACCTAGATATATTATCCTTAAAGCTAAAAATGACAAAAGCATAGAGGGCACAATAGCAGACAAAAGGAAGACACACTGCCTAGAAAGGAAGAACAAATAGTGTGACAGCAAACCTCTTTTACCAACCAATGGAAGCTAAAAGCAAGTGGTGAGAGAAAATAACTGTCAACCTAGAGTTGCATATCTAGCTAAAGTATCACTTAATAATGAGGCTGAAATAGACATGAAGATGGACCAGCCAGAACAGCCCTCAAGGACAGACTTGCCACTCTGGCTGCTGTGAGTGCAGTCAGCTGTCAGTCCTCAGCCATTAGGCACTTCAGGAGTGACCTCAGCTGCCGAGAGCTGCCTTACCAAAGGTCAGGGAATTCCCACGATGCCCACATCCACTGCCTGATCAAGGAGAGGCTACATATATGTTGATCATCCCTTTCTCAGCTGTTAGATCTTGCCTCCAGTGATTCCAACGAGAGCTCTGGAGGTCTGATGGCCCATCAGAACTCTTCTACCTCGGATCAAAAAGCACAGACATTTGTATTTCCTCCTTGAAAAGGCATCGCCCCTTTTCTGCCCGCACTCCTCAGGGAAGGCCTCCCTAGCTTCCTGGCCTGCCCCTCGCCCATTCTTCTCTTTAGCTCCTGAGACTTTGCCCATGTTTAATAATCTTTGTCTTTTGGGTCTCCTGGAGAGTCCCGTCTCTCTCCCAAAGAGCTCAAGAAAAGTTTGATTTTTGTAGATTATCTAGATTTAAATTATTGTTGGGCCGAGAGTGACATACTTTACCCGTTCCTATGTCTTACACAATAGGGAAAATGACAACTTATTTTAAAAGTACCAATGGAATACTTTAAACATCTTTTAAAATATTTAGGTTGAAAGCAATCATAATATTTTCCAGGGATTGGAAATCACAGAGTATATGCTCCCTTCAGAGAAACAGCAATTAGACATAAAATACTAAAATAAATTTCTCGACATTCAAATAGCTGTGGAAAACGACCGGGAAGGGGTTACCTTATTTCATGTAAGCAGTCACCCTTGTTCTTTTAATATAAGGCAAG